CGGCAGCCCCTTGTAGGTCAAAATGGGTAAAAATGCCAGCCTCTACGCCCTGCTCGGAACCTGGGATCCCAGGGAGGCCTCCAGGGAGATTGCAGTGATGCTACTCATCACGGTGGTTGTCGTTGAAAAATTTTCCTACCAACAACTGCGAAAGCACACAACCCTCATTCCAGAATCGCTGATCCTCATCCTACTGGGCACCGGCGTTGGCTGCGTTCTCCGATTCCTGCCCGCCCACATTGACCATGACACCTGGCGAATGACACCAGAGACCTTTTTTCATTACCTCCTACCCTGCTGCCTCTTGGATGCCGCCTTTAACCTGCACAATCGTGTCTTCGGTGACTGTATAGGCGGTGTCATTGTCTACGCTGTGCTGGCTACAGTCCTCAACATGGTCCTAATAGGCACCATCCTGGTTGGCTTTGAGAGGGCCGGTTTCTTCAAGGACCAACCCGTGGTCTACGGCGTGCAGGTGCTCATGGTCTACGCCTCGCTCATTGTGGCAGTTGATCCGGTTGCCGTGCTAGCCATCTTTCAGGAGATTGGTGTGGACCTCAGCCTTTACTACCTAGTACTGGGTGAGTCGCTGTTTAATGACGCCGTCACACTGGTGCTCTACAAGATTACCCTGGGATTTCTACGGAAGAAAGATGTGACCACGGAGGACATTGCCATCGGTATTGGGGCCTTTTTCACCATCAACTTGGGCGCCATTCTGATTGGTATCGTCCTCGGTGTCGTAACCTGTCTCGTTACGAGGGTGCACAGTCACTTTGAACTGGTCCTGGTCTACCTCATCGCCTACTATGCCTATGTGTTGGCCGATATTATTGGCTGGTCGGGCATTGTTGCTATGGTTACCTGCGGTATGATCCAGACTGCGTACGCTTTCCATAACCTCAATGATAACTGTCTGGCCACCGTGCGACTGCTGGGCAAGACCCTGGCTGAGGTCTCGGAAGCGATCATCTTCCTCCTAATCGGCGTGCAGATTATTCAGATGCGGACTCTATGGCACAACTCGTTTAACTGGTGTGCGTTAGCCTCGTGTCTGACGGTACGAACAGTTGTTGTCTTTTCACTGACTGCGGCTCTCAACCGGTTCAACGTAAACATCTCAAAAATTACCCTCACAGATCAGTTCATCCTGGCCTACGGTGGACTACGCGGGGCTGTTGCTCTCTCTCTGGCCATCATGTTGAGAGAAGAGGAGGAAAAAGAAGGAGAGGCAGGGGGAAAGGAATCGCCGGCAGTGAGCGAAGAAGTCTATAAAAGCATAGTCACCTCCACCCTCTTCATCATCCTCTTCACAGTCGGTGTCATGGGACCCACAATGAAACCGCTGGTAAAGCTGTTTCGCGTGAAGCTGGCCGAGCGTCAGACCATTAGTCTGATGCGGGAACTTAATGAAAACATGATTGATCAGGTGACAGCCGGCATTGAAGCCATCATCGGGTCTGTCGGGCGGAATAGCCTGCGAGCCCTTTTTGTGCGTC